CCCCAAAACCCCAAAACCCCAAAACCCCAAAACCCCAGAAGAGTAAGATAGCGTTGAATAATAATTTAACTAAGATGTACCAATCAGACTTATCTAAATCCAAAATATCTCACAATATTCTTACAAGCCATAATTGATCGATATATCGAGCAGTTTTGGCTGATACTAAATAAATGGAATACATTTGATCTCCCTCTTGTGTTTACTCTGAAAGATTCAGTTATGATACCAACTCTATTACCTCCTGAGAAGAGAAGCACTGCAAAACCTCTTCTGACCATTGAAGAGCAAGAGTCAGATAAATGTAGTAAAGAAAGCTATCAATTTGATAAACAGGAAGCTTTGTTATTAAAATCTTTAGTAGAAAGAATGCTTTCTCCAAGAAATCAAAGTTTAAATTCTGAGAAAAAAGAGAAAACATTCATTCAATCTGATCAAAATAAAGGATTACTGTTAACCAAAAGAGAAAGTCTAGAGACTTCCCAGAAAGCTAAGAAGACTCTGAAAATTCACAAAGAAGACTCAGACCTTGGCTTTATGAATTTTCTTGATGAAGAGCCCAAGCAAGACAGTGATCTAATTTTTAAGAAATATGAACATTCAATTACTTACTTTAGAAGCAAAGGCCCTGGCAGGAACAGAAGAGTCATTTGTTGCAAGTATGGAAAATGCAAAAGAGAGTTCGCCAAGACCTGGAACTTTATCAATCACGCCAGGATGCATTTAGGGCAGAAACCGTATCAATGAAAAATTTGTGGAAAAGGATTTACTCAAAGAGGAAATCTTAAGAAGCATTATGAGGTTCATGAAGACAAGCCTCGCAAAGGTAAATCATAGGCTTTGAGAGACACTCATTCTTCTCTCCTCTGTAACTTCAATTTGGCTGTGTTTTAAAAGTTCAAAGAATTAATAAAAAGTTGAAGCGGTAGCATTTCTTTACTATCACTTTTTAAAATGAGTACATTTAAGTCAAGTAAATCTATTACTACTGAACTTAGATAAATTCTGAGAATTTGAAGACAAGTGCCATGCTAGTAGCAAGAAATGGAGCTCTATTTCATTTTACTATTTTTTTAGATATGGATTTGAAAAATTTCTGACTTGAAAAAATTCGCATCTAAGTGTCTTCCTATCACAAAATTATTTTTCTCCCTAACCCATCCAAACCACTCCCCACAATCCCCTTAATACCATACAACACATAAAATCTCACAAACCATAAACCTCCTAACCACCTCCCCCTATCCCTCGCCCCCGCTCTAAAGTCAGCACATCTACTACCAATTTTCAACTAATCCCACCTCCCATGGGGTTTTGGGGTTTTGGGGTTTTGGGGTTTTGGGG